ACTCGTTTTTGGAAAGCGGGGTCCGACCGAGTTACGGATTTAGGATCCGTCTACTCTCCTCTGTCGTTAGCGTTTGCCGCAAGCCTTCTATTTTGCCCCTCGTTGGCTCTCTCGCTAGTCCGTCGTTGCTACTCCTATTGGTTCCTATTTCTACTCGCACTAATAGATGATGCTTGGCTACCCTCCTAATCTGGGATCCGCATGCCCCAATGCTGCTCGCCTCTACTCGGTTTTTGTCTTCCTACTCGTACTCATAGTCGACTTTATTAACTCGTTAGGTTTCATTTTGCTTTCTTAACAAAGTTTTTGTATGCTTTGTTGAGCTTTTATACATAGTTCCAGCTAGCTTCTATTTGTTCCTATTTGGTTCTTCTTGGAATCTCTCGCTATTTTGATTCCTTGAGCAACCATCTAGATATAGCTCTAGTTCGGTTTCTTAGGGAGCTCGTTCCAATTTTTTGTAAATCTTGTATATGTTACTCTTGCTTGGTTTTCCAGTTGGTTTCACCTTTGATTTATATACTTACATTTAAATTTTTTTTAAAAAAAAGAGCTCTCATTTTGTCAATCCTTACTATGTCCGGACTCGGTAAGTTTCACCATGTTGAGTCAAATTAAGCCGTAGGCTCCACTCCCGGTGGTGCCCTTCCATCAATTCCTTTAAGTTTCAGCCTTGTGACCATACTCCCCCCAAAACCCATAAACTTTGATTTCTCATAAGGTGTTGACGGAGTCCTAGAAGTAACATCCGCCAATCCTTGGTCGGCATCATTTATGGTTAAGAGTAGGATGGTATCCGATCGTCTTCAAGCCCCCAACTTCGTTCTTGATTAATGAAAACATCCTTGGTAAATGCTTTTACGAGTTGTTCATCCTTCATAAATCCAAGAATTTCACCTCCGACTATGAAATACGAATGCCCCCGATCGTCCTTGTTAATAATTACTCCGATCCTGAAGGCTAACACAATAGGATCGAAATCTTATGATGTTATCCCATGCTAATGTATCCGGATCATAGGCTTGCTTTAAGCACTCTAATTTCTTCAAAGTAATAGCACCGAAGGCACGACCCGGCCGATTAAGGCCGAGAGCACATCATCGGTAGAAGGGATGAGGCGACCGATGCACACCTAAGGCGGATCGATCGACCCTACCCAAAGTCCAACTACGAGCTTTTTAACTGCAACAACTTAAATATACACTATTGGAGTTGGAATTACCACAGCTGCTGGCACCAGACTTGCCCTCCAATGGATCCTCGTTAAGGGATTTAGATTGTACTCATTCCAATTACCGGACTCGAAGAGCCCGATATTGTTATTTATTGTCACCACCTCCTCGTGTCGGGATTTGGTAATTTGTTCGCCTGCTCGCATTCCTTAGATGTGGTAGCCATTTCTCGGGCTCCCTCTCCGGAATCGAACCCTAATTCTTTGTCACCCGTCACCACCATGGTAGGCCTCTATCCTACCATCGAAAGTTGATAGGGCAGAAATTTGAATGATCGTAGCAACGATGGCCATGCGATCCGTCGAGTTATCATGAATCATCGGAGCAACGGGCAAAGCTCGCGTTGACTTTTTATCTAATAAATGCATCCCTTCCGAAGTCGGGGTTTGTTGCACGTATTAGCTCTAGAATTACTATGGTTATTCGAGTAGCAAATACCATCAAACAAACTATAAGCGATTTAATGAGCCATTCACGGTTTCACAATCCGAATTAGTTCATACTTACACATGCATGGCTTAATCTTTGAGACAAGCATATGACTACCGGTAGGATCAACCGGGTAGCATTCCTTTGCGACATCGCAACTCGAAAATCCCCAACGTCAAAGAGACGAGGGGACAAGTCGAGCGCAGAGGTCATTCTTATCGAGCAAAGATCTCCGAACGGGGCTATTGCAGGGTCCGGAGAACCCTACACGGGCAAGTAACAAATTCTACATCCGAAAGCACGAGCGATTGTAGGTGGGCCAATTCGATGGAAGTCCGCTCGATTGGAACACAAATGTCACGACAAAGATCCACCGCGCACACTTAGAGGAGGCACAAAGCAGAGAGGGACATCGTCAAATTCTAATTCCACCATAAAGGGTATGCGACATAGAACCCCTCATCATCGCGGAGGCCCTACGGGCTCTTGGGCCGGATGTGACGGGGACTACGAGCTAACGGTTCGGTGCACGAGCACAGAGCCCGCCAACACGGACGGCCCGACGACCACTCATGCGCCATCGCGTACACAAGACATCGATCCCGAAGAGCGAACCACGGACCAAAAGAGCAAAATGGAAACACTCAAGTGAGATGAAAGCTCGTATAAGACATTCAAAAAAAGGTACACCCGCCACGGCTAGGATGCCGAAGCCCAAGCCTTCGCCGTCGGGATACGATCACGGCACGAGCCAAGGGATTGCACGAGAGATTGCATGCGTCAACATAAGCACGATAACTTAATGCCATGCAAGCGCTTGCGTTAAGCTCTCATTAGAATCCCCAAGCCCATCGCTACGTCCCAATTGGCTAGCATCGGAATGGACACCGCGTGCCCACCTTTGCCACTTCGCTTGAAACGCCGATGCCCGGGCCTCGGCTATCGAGCTACAATCACGACGAAGGCCTTGGGCATTGCGCGAGAGAGCACATGCGTCGACACAAGCACAACAACTCAATGCCATGCAAGCGCTAGCATAAAGCTCTCATTGGAATCCCTAAGCCGGTCTCTACGTCCCAACAGCGTCGGACGAGCCATCCGCGCACCTACCTTTGCAACTCGGCTCAAAACGCTAATGCATAGGCCTTGGTCGTGAGGATACGATCGCAATGAAGGCCTTGGGGATTGCATAGAGAACGCACACATTGGTGCAAGCATAACAACTCAATGCCGGGCAAGTGCTAGCCTAAAGCTCTCGTTGGAATCCCCAAGCCCATCGCTACGTCATGACCGGTATCGGAGCGACCACCGCGCACCCACCTTCGACACTCAATGTGAAATGCCGATGCCTGGGCCTTGGCTATCGAGGAACGATCATGGCTAAAGGTGAGGGATTGCGGGAGAGCACACACTTCGGCACAAGCACAACAACGTAATGGTATGCAAGCACTAGCGCAAAGCTCTTCTTGGAATCCCCATGCCCGTCGCTACGTCCGACTGGGGCATCGGACCGACCACCTACACACACGCATTTGCCACTCGGCTCGAAAATCTAATGGCCGAGCCTTGGTCGTGGAGATATCATCATGACAAAGGCTCAAGGATTTCGCGGGGACCCCATGCGTCGACACAAGGATGACATACTAGGTCCCACCAGATCACCCCTCTAAAAAATTCAATTTTTTGAATTTTGAGCTGAAATTTTGTACACAATTTTGGAAAAATCCAATCTATTTTTTTGGAAAATTTTTAGAATTTTTCAAGGATGGGAAGTATGATTTTTTATTTTTTGAACATTAAAAATGCAAAAATTTAGAAAAAAAGGAAAATAAGTCGGAACGATCCAAAAAATGTGAGGGAGCACAATAATAAAATTTTTGAATTTTTGGGAAGGTTTTTGTTTGAAAGCGACGAATTTTCAAGCTAAAAAGCGAAATTTGATGAAAGTGGGCCTAGCGACCAACCCCATCCGCTCGGCGTAAGCTCGCTCCTAACCTCCTTTGACGTACCGGGACAACCAACACACGTAGGGGCATGCGAACAAGCCTATAAGGGGTCCGCGAGCCAGCCCCGAGGTGGCATGCATGCCGGCCGCGCAGGGGTCCGTAAGCGAGGAAGCGGGGGTCCGCGAGCTAGCTCGCAGGGGACATGCAAACGGGCACGAGCGAGGAAACAGGGGGCATGCGAGCTAGCCCGCAGAGGGCATGCGAGTAGGGGCGAGCGAGGCAGTAGGGGGTTTGTGAGCCGGATCGTAGGGGTCCGTGATCCGACGCGCGGGGTTTTGCGAGCCAACCCACGGGGGCATGCGAGCGAGCATGAGCGAGGCGAGCAGGGGTCCGCGTGCCGGCCCACGGAGGGTCCGCGAGCCGGCCCGCGGGAGGCATACGAGCGGGTGCGAGCGAGAAAGTAGGGGTCCGCGAGCCGGCCCGGAGGGGCCATGCGAGCGAGCGCGAGCGAGACGACAAAGGGTCTACAAGCTAGCCCGCAAGAGGCATGCGAGCAAGCCCGCAAGGGTCCGCGAGCCGCCTCGCAGGGGGCATGCGAGTGAGCACGAGCGAGGCGACAGAGGGTCCGCGAGCCGGCTCGCATGGGGTCTATGAGCGGGCGTGCAAGCGGTCCGTGAGCTTCCACGCCTAACGTCCGTGAGGGGCCGCGAAGGGGCGCACATGGGCCCCGCACGCCGGCCCGCGGGGGCATGTGAGCGGGCACGCATGGGGCTGCGAGCCAAGCCGTAGGGGATTGCGAGCGAGGCAGCAGGGGCTCGCGAGCGGACGCGCCTTGCCCGTGCTTAGGGCCGCAAGAGCACGTGGGCGATGGGACCGCGTTGCTAGGCTTCACCGCCGGCCTACCCCTCTTGGCTCCAGAGTGCCCAAAGTCATTTTTCGAATGCAGCATGATATACTACGGTCCGAAGCCCATGGCCCACGCGCCTTAAGGCCCTAAGGCCCCAAGCACCAAAGCCCCAAGCCCCGGGCGAGGGTGCGGGTGGGCGCGTTGTGTTTTTTTATGGGATTGTTGGCTTCCCTATAGAGAAATATGTGAAATTTCTTCTACGATAGGGATAGACACTACTAGGTTCCAGTGTCACCTCTACTCTAAAAAATTCAATATTTTTTATTTTTTATCGATATTTTGTACACATGGTGTGAAAAATCCAATCTATTTTCCGGAAAACTTTCAGAATTTTCCAACATAAGGAATTATACTTTTCTATTTTTTGATCTTTAAAATTGCAAAAAATTGAAAAAAATAGAAAATAAGTCGAAACGATGCCAAAATTTTGGCGAGCCCAATAATAGTGTTTTTTTTATTGGGATAGTTTTTGTGTGAATGGTCCAGTTTTTCATTCCGAATACGCAATTTTGTGTAACTCGGGCCTCGCGGCCGGTCCCAGCTCCCGGCACCGGCCCATTCAACGTGTGCATGGCCACGCGCTCGGTGTCCACGGAGGGCTCGCGAGCATGCGCTCCCGGTGTGCGCAAGGGCTCGCGAGCGGACGCGCGCCCGGCTCGAGCAGGCGCTGCTAGCCGGTGCGACCCGGCTCACGGAGGCTGGGAGCGAGGTTGCCCGGCATGCGTAGGGGCTGCGAGAGGTGCGCTAGCGCGCGCGGGGCTTGAGTGA